AAAACAGCATGATCTTTCTGATCTAGTACAATGATAATATCTCCTGGCTCCAGTCCTGGTTCTTGGTCTCCTTCACCATGGAATGTTATCTTCTGGCCATCATTCATGCCTTTGTCAATATGAACTTCTAGAATCTTTTTCCTTCCATTGCAACTTTTATATATATCTTTAGGACTGATCCACTCTCCATGGCCTTAGCACTCCATGCATACAGACCTCGGCAATTGGGACAACACTCTACTGTTCCTTTCTTACCACCTCGGCCTTCACATTTGTCACAAATCACATTCTTTTTCAGGGCCGGTTTTCTTGTTGTACCATTATATAAATCTTCTAAGGTTACTGACAACTGATATACAACGTTTTTACCTCTTTCTCTCTACATCCTTCCTCCTCCTCCAACAAACATATCAAAGATGTCCATTGGGAAGCCAAAACCACCACCTGCTCCACTCTCTTTAATTGCCTGCTCTCCTCCTTTGTCATATAATTCCCTTTTCTTCGCATCAGAGAGAACTTCATAAGCTTGAGAAATCTGTTTAAACTTCTCGCCTTCATTTGGATTCTTATCAGGGTGGTACTTCAAGGCCAGTTTCCTGTAAACCTTCTTCAACTCTTCCTGGGTAGCATTGGATTTGACCCCCCCGAAAACATCATAGTAAGTCATTTCTTTCACCATTTTCTACAGCCCGTGAGCGGGCTGAGGCCGGCGTGGGGGAGCGGGAAGGTGCGCGTAGCTGTGTGCAGCTCGGGCAGCCGCCGCTCCTCAGCTCCTCACCGAGCGTTCTGGAAAGTTCCGCCACTCAGGTTATTTTTCTATGGTAAATTTTAACAAATGCAGCACATTCTTTTTTTTTTTTTTTTTCCAGAGAGGTTTTTGCTATAGGGCACGTGTGCTCGCCAGACAGAAAGAGAGAGACATAAAGCGAAAAATCATCTCCCAGGGGGGATGGCCACACTGCAATCCCTTCTCCCTCCATTCTCCTCTTGGGAATCCCACGCACCCACACATGCCTGGCCTGAGTTTTAAGCCACCAAGTCCGGGACTCAAACCACAGTCGACTACATGGGAGTCCAGCAAGATAGCCATTACGCTAACTGCTGGTCCCTACAAATATAGCACCTTCTCACTGCATTAGAAACTGGAATGTCAAGGAGAATATCCCCCTAGAATGAAGAGCAGCATAGTAGACTAAGTCTAGACCTCATGGGTCCTTGTACCCTCCTTAACAAACTCTAGAACTACTCTGGTCCCTACTCACTCTGCAGCTAACTGGGAACACCGCCACAGACCTCCTTCTCATACATCCCGCAGAGCCACCCTGTCCTGCCTAATACCTAAGTACAGGCAGTAGACCACAGTGGCCGCGAGTAAGGCCACCTGCGCTTACATCTCATCTCTGTGGCTTAGTGACCCTGGACAAATTATCTACCCTATTTGTTACAATGAAATGATAACAGAATTTCCCTCAAAGGGCTGCTGTGAGGATAAAATAAGTTAGTATATGTGACACCAAGAACAGTCTGCCACATAATAATCACAATATAATGATTGTTATTGCTATTTAACTGATAAAAGTATAATGGGCAAACTAACTCCAGCTGCTTCTACTTGAGGGCAATGAAATGAGAGGCAGAGGCTGGAGAAGGGAGTTTGTTTCTGCGTCCAAGTGACCAGGAGACAGTCAACAAGCACCACTGAATCGTCTCCAAAAAGTTCAGCATGTGCGCAGCATTTGTAGATACAAGACACAGCATGCACATCATTCCTCACTATGATCAGTCAATCGCTCTGCTCTGAGTGACTATTCTGATTCCTGCTTTTCTTTGAATACCCATTTCTGGTTTCTTATCTGACTATTATTTAAACAGATCTCCCTATGACTCAGCACTTACACTCTTCTCTTCAGAGGCCTTCCTTAATTTCAGAATGACTGCAGTACTGCTGAAGCTCAAGCTAGTCTACTTCAAAAGTGTTTTCAATTGTCTGGGAACCAGCAGTTAGCATAATGGCTATGTCGCTGGACTTCCACGTAGTCGACCGCGGTTCACGTCCCGGACCCGGTGGCTTAAAACTCACGCCGGGCGCGTGTGCGGGTGTGCCCAAGATCCCGAGAGGAGAATGGAGGAGAAGGGATTGCAGTGTGACCATCCCCTCTGGGGGGTGATTTCTCGCTTTCTGTCTCTATGTCTCTCTCTGTCTGTCTGGCGAGCGTACGTGCCCTATAGCAAAAAAAAAAAAAAAAAAAAAAAAAAAAACCACCTCCAAAAAAAAAAGTGTTTTCAATTGTTTTAATTAGCGTTAAGTTATTAGAGACTAAGAATAGCCTTCTCCAATATTAATAAAGAACACACATTACAATTAAAGTTGTATCTAACTAAATTATCTTGGCATGGCTGATGGCAGTCAACTTTGTTTAAAAGTTACTTTTTAGTGATATTAAGCCAAGTGATAATATCATAGGTAATAATTACGATAGATCAGTTGAAAGTTTCTCATTCAATTCTGCAGGTTTTTCAAATTTACCACTTAGTTATCTGAATTAGTTATGTCACAGAATGCAAACAAGTTGGCAAATGTACTTAGCCCTGGAGCTCTTATGCCTGCGTAGTTACTATTATTAATAACTAAATAATGAACAGTAATGAACCATATTCTTTTCCTCTAACATACCGTTTAATTCCTGATCTAAAGAATTACATTAGCTCTCAGCATATGTGTAGGAACCTAATAAGATTTCACTGAAAAATTGGTCTAATGGCATTTCTTCAGTTCAAGAAATGTTTAAATTCAAATCAATATTTATGTAGCCTTTACAAGAACACATCCTACTCCATATTAATACACAATCCCACAAAAGCTTCTGTAACCTTTTAAAAGTGGTAAACAAAATAGGCAGTCAATGCCTACAAAGGTCAACAAGGCATTTGAAAAAAGTCTGTGTGAACTCATGGGTGTCCCTACGCACAGAGCTGTATGTAACTGGAGTGAATTGTGATATGATATATCCCAGCGTCCTTTGAGGCCAAAGTTAAACAGAAATGCAGCTTCGTGTGCTAGCAGGACATAATTCTGGTTCTCATACACATTAGCCTATTCAACGGGCATGATAAGAAACTACTGAGATTTCCAAATCCCGTGGGCCCCTGTAGCACATTTGCCGATGTATGCCCACGTGAACCTGATGGGTTGTCCTCACTCAGCTTTGATAATGAGATAAAGGGCTCGCATACCTTCACTTTCGCAGACTCAGTGACACAGCACTGTCACCTATAAACTCAATGACACAACACAGCCATCCATACAAATACAAGATATGCTGTTTGACTTTGCCAACAAATCAGTATTTCAAAAATAGGTAGTTATGGGTCAGTTCCGTGGCCTGGTGGTTAAGGGAGCCAGAGCCCACATGGCCGACTGCAGTTCAAATCTCAGCCTCACAGCTTGATAAAACCAGCTGGGCTTATGTATGTGTGTGCCCAAAATCCTGACAGGATGAAGAAATGAAGAAGGAATTGAAGCCTGACTATGACTTATTGCAGAGTACTTTCTCTCCTCTTCTCATTCTCTCTCTCTCTCTCTCTCTCTGTTTTTCTAGTTAGTAGACACATCTTCTGGTAATTAAAAAAAAAAAAGGAAGGAAAAAAATCTGTAGTTGTACTGCTAATGCATTTATGTATAGATATACATGACATTTATAACTATGAAGTTATTTCTAAAAAGTCTCCAGTCTAGAAATATCCTACTCTGAAATAAAATATATGGTTATTCCCAACCATGTCAAAATCTTCAATAATGAAAGTTTGTTTTAATATAGAATAAAAAAATAAAAACCTTAAATCAAGTATTTTCTTTTAAAGAAAGTAATATGACTTTAAAATCTTTGGATAAGTTTTTACTCCTTTCATCAAGTTGTATTAGCTACTCTGTTATATAATATGGTCATCTATACCATAATCACTGAAGCCAGCAAACCCAATAAGAAAAATGTTCATTGATGACCAAATCATAATGATGGTTTATTTAATGTTCTAAAGGTTCTCTCTCTCTCTCTCTCTCTCTCTCTCTCTTTAAAGAGATTTTTGCTATAGGACGTGTGCACTTGCCAGACAGACAGAGATAGAAAGTGAGAAATCACCCCGGGAGGATGGCCACACAGCAACCCCTTCTCCTCCCTTCTCTTGGGACTCTGGGTATGCATGCGCATGTGCTGGGCATGTACACACATGCACCTGCCATGAGTTTCGAGCTACCAGTTCCAGGACTCCAACTGCAGTCAGACATGCAGAAGTCCGGCACCTTAACCACTATGCCACCTGCTGCCCCCCTAAAGTTTCTAACATGTTTTGTTTCATTCTTTCATTAGTTATACTTTTCTTCCAGGAGGATTTGAGTGGTTTTAGAGATAGATGAATCTCTCATTCATGATTGTGTTCATGTATCTGGGGGCCTATCACACCACCTCTACAAAAAAAAATCAGCTTATTGAATTCCTACAAGACAAAAATTTACTAGCAGTTAAGAGCTTACCTGTTGAAAAATTTCTTGATGCTTTTTTTTTTTTTTTTTTTTTGAGTTTTGCTATGGGGTACTTGTGCTCGCTGGAGAGACAGACAGAAAGCAAGAAATCACACACACACACCCCCAAGGGGGATGGCCACAGCACAATCCCTTCTCCTCATTCTCCTTGGGATTTTGGGCATGCACATACATCCACCCGGCGTGAGTTTTAAGCCGTCGGGTCTGGGACTCAACCTCACTCAGTCAATTATGTGGGAGTCCAGAGACATAACCATTATGCCATCTGCTGGTCCCAATGCTATTTTTTTTTTAATTTCCTTTAGGACACTCAACTTTATCCATTACTTCCCAAAATCCTACTTGGACAGTAGTAATCTTGTTTCCTGGCTTGCCCATACAGCCAAATAATATAAAAGAATTTACAGCTTTGAATAAAATAAGAGTAACTGAATTAATAAATGTCTTTATGTACTTTATTCAAAATACAATTTTTAATAAAGTAAAGATCATTTGAGTTATATAAAAATAATAGAAGAAGAATGGAAAAATGTAATATGTGCAAATATTTAGGAAAAATATTTTTAACTTTTAAATCAAAAATACAAACCTTCTGCCAGAATGAGTACAGAAGAGTAAGTGTTCGTAAGCAATATAGAGTTATTGTGATGAAAGTGACGTGATGCTTCGAACTGCCAGAAAAAATTATGACTATGATTCAAACATCATTTAAGTAGGCTAAGAGGTTGTAATTAACAGTAACAGGAAGCTCCAAAGTGGTCCAAATCAAAAATAAGTATACTGCATGCTTCCAGGTTTTTTTTTTTGTTGTTGCTGTTGTTTTAAGATTGCAAGTATCTATTTGATGAAATTTTAAAGTGGAATAAAACAAAACTCATTTTATGTTGCCTTTGCTCTTTAACTTGTAGCCTTATCTCCCAGGTCAAAGAGCACATTATTCAATTTCACTGTATTTTGTGTAAAACCACTGTTGCGTTGAAGATGACTTTCAATACAAATGTCATGGTACTTAAAGCTACACCAGAATCTAGTTTTTCAGCTTCTTAATTAAAATTACAGTTTAAAATAGTCTGCCAATATTATCTTTATTCTTTCCAGTTGAACAGCAATAGAATTTGCACATCTTTTATTCAGTCGAGCCTAGCAATCTTTCTGGGGCTCTACTTTTTAATACACCAAAACAATGTCAAAAAAGCAAAATACTTTTTGTACATAATAATATCATAGGAATGGTCTCTCATTTTGTCTCTTATATATACTATATAAGTCTTTCTCCAAAATTAGTTTCATTTGTTTTGCAGTCTGCTCCAAAGAATGGTAGCATGAACCCACCCAAGAAGCCCTCTGAAGATTTAAGTGGATACAGAATTTTGCTCAATCAGAAACACAGGGGGGTATATCTTTTTAAATATTATAGCTAGAAAGAGAGCATATCAAATACTCCATAAAATGTTAAGCTGTAACAGGAAAATATAAATGTTTAAATATACGACAAAAGAGGAAAGCAACAACGAATCCGCACTTGTCAAGCGGTAAAGGATGTGGACCGTATCCCAAGTGTAAAGAATAAAGGATGCAAGCCATACCCCAAATGCCGCTGTGTATATTTCAATTATTACGCTATAATTAGTAACCTCAAGTTTGTGTACTATCTATAAAAGATATCATTAAATAAGATTTTAGAGTTTTGTTGTTTGTTTTTAATATAAAACCTCTACCAATACTTTGAGAACTATGTAAAAATTATTTCATAATAATATATATGTTCTATGTAATCTGGACATAAATTTATAAAACAATTTATTAGTTATACTTGAAATTGTTAACCAAGGAACAGCAATAGCTAATTTCAACTATTTCTTTTTATTTTTACTATAAATGTCACATTTATAATTCACAAAAATACTATGCACCTTACATATTAATCCAAGTAGGGAAAATGTATATTTTGTAATTTCCTTACCATTTCACTCACTTTCTTCTGTAAAGAATATTTAGAAACCTTGAAAAATAAGGGAGGGAAAACTCATTAAAATTCTTTAATTATATACTACAAGTTCCTTCCAGTATTAAAATTACATGCTATAAAATGTAGCCTTCATCTTCTATGCATCATTTTTTAGGGACATTTTTCAAAATTTTATTCATAATAATTATTTCTTATAATACATCTACTTACTTATTCAACACATCTATTTACTTATTCAAGACTTTCCCAGGCCTCTGCAATACAGCAATGAACAGAACAAAGTCCCTGTTATGGCTTAGAGAATGATATGTCACCCAAGGTTTCATGTTTTACCATCTGATCTTCGTGGGCAATTATAGGATGTCCCCCAGAAATTCATTTGCTGGGACTTAATGGTACTGGTTGTACTTTAAAGGTGCTGAGAATTTACTTATTATTTGTTTGTTTGTTTGTTTAAAGAGTTTTTTGCCTTAGGGCATGTGCAATCACTGGAGAGAAAGAAAGACACAATGAGAGGGAAAGGGAGAAACCCCCAGGGGGGTGTGGACAGCCACACCCCAATCCTTTCTCTTCCATTCTCCTCCTGCATCTGAGGCATGCACACGCATGTGCTTGTTATGATTTTCAAGTCACCAGGTCTGAGACTCGAACTGTGGTTGGCCATATGACAGTCCATTGACATAACTGTTATGCCATCTGCTGATTCCCATTAAGTGACAATTTAATTCCTTAACGGTGTCCTCTCTTTGGGTCTTAGGGAAGGACCTCCATGACTGAGTTCTGATGGAATTTATAAGCAGAGAGAATGAGGCCCAAATGGCAGAGAGAAGTCACATATATACAAAATGCCTTTGCATCTTTCAGCCACCAGAATTATAGATTGATGGAATTTTATTTCTTTATAATTCAACCAATCTAGCGTAAACCTGTTGGCAACACAATAAGAAACTAAGATGTTCTCTTTCTTAGAAAACTTTTTTCCTAGGGGGAGTAGTGGTAGACAAAAAATATAAGTTAAAACTGTAATATGGCCAAGAATGGCAATAACTACTGAGGTAAAAAGTGTTAGCTCTATTAAAGAGCGCTTGAGAAACGGATAATATTAAAAATAAAAATTACTTTAAAAAAATCATCTCAGGACCAGCAGATGATGTAATGGCTATATCGCTGGACTCCCATGTAGTCAATCATGGTTGAGTCCCGGGCCCGGTGGCTTAAACTCATGCTGGGTGCATGTGCGTGCGTGCCCAAGATCCCGAAGGGAGAATGCAGGAGAAGGGACTATGGCGTGGCCATCTCCCCTGGAGGGTGATTTCTTGCTTTGTCTCTCTCTCTCCGTCTTTCTGGCGAGTGCTCATGCCCTATGGCAAAGACCTCCCCCCTGACTCCCCCCCAAAAAATCATCTCTCAGTCCAACACTTTGGTACTTCTAGATTTTTCTCAATGCTTTTACATCCTCAAAGTCAGTGGGATGTGATAATAATAAATGTACAGTTCTTTAACTGACTTTTGCTTAAACATCTTATGACAAATGATATATTAATATACTATATACCTTTTTAATGCTAACATAGTATTCTACTGCCTAACTTTACCGGTTTACCATATAACTCTCACATTTATGTGTAACAGGTTTAGTTTATTATTATTATGAACTATGCTGAAACAAACAAGTTTGTATACAGAATATTAGTTATTACTTTTAGCAGGACAAATTCCAAAAGCTGACTTCCTAAGATTTGTTCACTTTTATAGGCTTTTACAATCTGTTACACTATTTTCCAAAGCAGAGGACTAAGTTAAATTTTAATCGGCCACATATGAGTGCTCAATTTCTTAAACCCTAATGGTATTTGTTAAATTTAAGCAAAAGCGAAGTAATTATGTTTCTTATGAATACATTTTTTAGCATACTACCATGAAATAGATGACAGTTCTCTCTCACTTGGGGGGAGGTGACAGTGTGTGACCATTTACGGACGTCGACACTGTAAGTGGCCTGAGGTGAGTAAGAGAGCTGAGCGGGCCTCTGCAGCAGCCGAAGGATGAGGACGAGGGATGAGAAGGGTTAGACACCAGATGTGTTTGGGAGAGAAATCTGGGGAAAAAATGCAACTGGGAAGGGAGCTGTCATTAACTAGGATGGAAAAGACTAAACAAGAAGCAAATTTACAGAAGGGGGTTATTTAGGAACTTGGTTTTAAACATGTCAAGATTGAGATACCGTTTAGACATCTAGGCAGAAACACCAAATAATCACTCCAGGCTGGATTCAGGGTTGGGATATACATTTAGAAGTCACCTGTATGTAAATCCTATTTTAAAGATATAGGCCTAAATGAGATGGAGTATTCTTTTTTTTCTTGGAGAGGTTTTTTGCTATAGGGCGCGTGTGCTCGCCAGAAAGATAGAGAGAGAGAGAAAGCGAGAAATCACCCCTCCGAGAATGGCCACATCACAATCCCTTCTCCTCCATTCTCCTCTTGGGATTTAGGGCACGCACGCACACACGGCCAGCATGAGTTTAAGCCACCGGGTCCAGGACTCGAATCATAGTTGACTACATGGGAGTCCAGCGACATAGCCATTATGCCAACTGCTGGTCCCGAGATGGAGTATTCTTAAGATACACAGAATGAAAACAAAGTAAATGAGTAGAAGGTGTCTAAAAAGTTAGGAGAAAAAAATGAAAAGAGAATTCGGGCGACTGTCACTATAATCTAGAATGTGTCACCTGCTACTGTTAGCCAGAGCGGGCCACTGTCTTCAGACACTTTCCTCTGTCTTAACCCTTTCTGAATTACAATCCAAATCTGTATTCTATGAACACCTTTAGAGCATTCCTCAGCTTATTAAAATACCACGTATCAGCATTTCTGACACACAGCTGAATTTGGACATAATTAGATTGACAGGCAATCTTTTACTAGATTCTATATTTAATCTTTTATTTTTTTAATTCTAAAAGTCATATTAAAATTGGTTCATAATATCAGATATGAGCATCTTTCTAGCACAAAAACAAAACTATACTGACAGTAATGAATGTATTAACAACAGAAGACAATTTCAAAGATGAAATATAAATGTTTTCCTATTATAGTTATCCCTCACTCAATAGAAAATTTTAAGAACACCTGACTGGGGGCTGGCAGGTAGTGTAGCAATTAAGGCACTGGACTCCCTCATGGCCCACCGTGGTTCAAGTCCCAGACCCAGTGGCTTGAAACTCATGACAGGTGTGTGTGCGTCCATGCCCAAAATCAGGAAAAGAGAATGGAGAAGGGATTGCAGGGTGGCCTTCTTGCCTGGGGGATGATTTCTTGCTTTCTGTCTTTCAAGCAACTGCACACTCCCTATAGCAAAAGTCTCTCAAAAAAATTCTGACTGAAAAGCATACTTCTTCAGAGCAAGCCTTATTTTCCCATTCATTTTCCATGAATTGGATTTATGTTATGTGGGAATGAAGTCCTCCAAATGACGATGCTGAAAACATGTGGCCCCTTTCTCTTCCTGAACAGTTCAGTCCTCAGTATATCACCCAGTGTAGAAAAGGTCGGGTATGTGAAGAAGTGAAAGGCCATGGCCACAGCACTCCAGAGGAGGGTATCGGTACCCTTCCTGTGGAAGAAGGCAGTGTACTGTGGGGAGTCAGAGGCCGAGCAGGCTGAGGAGGGTACTCAAAGAGAGACCCAGCTGGACGGGTCAGAATGCAAGCTAGCAGCAGGTCTGGCACCATGGCCTGATGGTTAAGGGTGCTGGATCCCATATGGCCAACAGAGTGATTAAATTCCTGGACCCAGCAGCCAGAATAACACGCCATGTACCACTCCACATATGCCAACAATCCTGCTAAAAGAATGAGGAAGGTATATCAAAAAAATTCAGAAACCAGTTTAAATGGACTCGCACTGGCCAAACCAAGAATAATTTGAGATCAAAAGATAAAATGATAGTCACAGATATCAACCCATTGAAAACAACAAGAAATTATGAGTCTATTTTGATATAAATATACTAAAAATTTGGGGGGCAGCAGGCAGCATGGTAGTTAAGGCACTGGATCCCACATGACTGACCCTAAAGTTTAAGTCCTGAATCTAATCAGTGTGCATGTGTGCCCAAAATCCCGAACTAAGAATGAAGACCATATTACAGCATGATCGTTCTCCCTGGAGGATGATTTCCCTCTCTCTCTGTCTCTCCTTAGCAAGTTCATGCCCCCTATGGGAAAAAAATAAAAACAATAATAATAATTGGTGAAAAACAGGATACTGACTAGTTTCAAATTAACTCCCTACAAAATACTCTGCTTACCAAGGGGGAGAAGAGTAACTTTACAGTGGAGAAACTTGCCAGATACAATCACCTCCGCTGAATAAAGTAAGTATCACCAATAAGGAAGCAAACCTGAACTCATGTGTTATCTAACAGGATTCAGTAAGAACACAGTATTACTTCTGTGATATTCCTCCAGAGACACATAAACAGAATCACACAAACAAAAACTGAAAGACACTGTAAGTAACTGGTCTGTAATCTTTAAGAGTACCAAAGTCGGGGAAAAAAATGAAGCAAAGACTGGGGGACTCACCCAAATGGAAAGAGATTAAAGAGCTATGACAAGTGCGGCACCTCGTGGGACTCTAAACCAGGTTCTTCTGCTACACAGCATTTTACTAGGGCAGCTGGCGAAGCTGCATGTGCGCTGAACCTTCCGGCTGTGTAGTAGGGCTGATGTCCTGGTACACTGCATGGGGGTAGTTGTGTTACAGTTTTATAGGAAAGTGTTCTTGACAGTAAAGAGATACACTATTATAATGGGGTGAAAGAGCAGCAGGCTGGCAAATTACTTTCAAGTCACTGTAAAACAAATTCATTATTTGCACTGTATTTCAAACACTTCTGTAAGTGTATGATAGTTTCAAAAGAAAAAAGTTAAGTGATTCCAAAAACACCGTAGAATAAATACAAAATGCTGAAAAAATACGGCTATACTAAAAAGCATTATACATAGCTGAAGTGCAAAAGCAAAGAAGTGCAAAGTCCATGGACCAGGAATAAGAGTGCAAACCCACAGAGATGTGAGTGTGCAAGTAGCTGCTTCAGTAGTCCTGAGCCCACTGAGCTCAGTTGCAGGCTTCAATCGCTGAACGAGGGTTTTAGTGCCCCTGTGAGCAAAGAGTCAAGGGATCTCGAACACTGTGGAATACAGACAGGACTCTAGACAGGCAGGCCTCATAGCCTAGTGGTTAAGGGGCAGGATCCCACATTGCTGATCGCCATTTGGAATCCCAGCCCTGGGAACTTGAAAAACATGCTGAGTGCGTGTTTGTGTGCATGGGTGTGTGTGTGTGTCCAAATTCTTGAGAGGATGGAGAAATGGAGAAAGGAGCAACCCCATGGAGGGTTGCTTTCTCTCTCTCCATCCTGTCTCTCTCTCTAGTGAGCATATGCTGCACCCCTGGCAATTAACAAAAGAAAAGGAAAAAAGGAACTCTAGGAGAGCTGCTAACTGTCAAGGAAGGTGAAAGACTCAGCTTAGATCTCTGGATCCGAAATGAGAAGCCTAAACTTGCAGTGAAAAGGTGTGAGGCCCTAACAAGCACTCCGCACCTGGTGTGCACGTCCTGAGATGACAGATTAATACAAGCACCAGGGACTGAGCAGCGAAAGGTTTGGAACTCAGAACAGAAGCAATGCAGAAGCGTTCTGCAGGAAGAGTTCCAGGACACAGCTTCACCAGAAAAATAACAACTGAAGAGCAGCTCGTGATGTAAAATTTATGAACCATATTATAAAGGAAGATATGCAATGAGGGAGACTCAGCAGGCGTACACTGCAAACAGGAAGACTCATACCCACCAGTAACTAGAGATAACAGAATCTCAAAGATATTATAAAAATTATTTCTCAGTGACAAAAGAAATAAAGGATATAATAAAAATATGGGGAACATATAAGACACTATAAAAAGGCAGGTTTGGAAAAGCACCAAATACAATTCCTATAGAAGAAAAATGTAGTCATGGAATAAAGAACTTAACAGATAAGTTATATGGCAAATAAAAAACATAGTTGGGAGGGCCAGCAGATGGCATAATGGCTACATCATTGGACTCCCACATGGTCAACTGCAGTTCAAGTCCTGGACCTGGCAGCTTAAAGCTCATATAGGGTGCATGTGTGTGCATGCCCAAAATCCTAAGAGGAAACTGGAGGAGAAGGGACTGCAATGTGGCCATTACCCCCCCCCTGCCCCCAGAGGGGGTGATTTCTTGGTTTCTATCTCTCTGTCACTCTCTGTCTCTCCCATGAGCACACATGCCCTATGGGAAAACATCTAAAATAATACTAATAATAATCGTGGTCAACCCCATAGCCTAGTGATTAAGGAAACTGGCTCCCCCCAACCAGTTTGAATCACAGCCCAGGTAGCTTGAAAAAGATGCCAGGCTCATGTGTTTATGTACCTCAAATCCTGACAGGATGGAGAAATGGAGAAGAGTGGATTGCAACATGACCACACCCGATTGCAGGGTGCTTTCCCTTTCTAGCACTCTCTCTGGCAAGCATACACACCCTCTGGGAATCAAAAAAGAAAAAAACATAGTTCAATAGTGAACTAGAAGACAGCACAAAGGGAACTGAATAAAATACAGCAAGCCCACTGAGATAAAGAAATGGAAAATGTGTACGCTCTAGATATCTGGAGGACAGAATGAAAAGATTTAATACATACCTAATGAGTTAGAAAGGAGAAAACAAAGACTTGCTGAGCAAGATAATACTTGAATTGATAATGACCTATTATCAATTTAATTCCAAAAATAAATGAAAATATTGACTTTCATGTTGCAAAAATAAATCTTTTAAGTACAAAAAGATCGAAAAACTGACTAATACTTGGGTAACTAAAAAAAATGTGCTAAGTTCATTCAGAAAGCTATGACATTATTTTTTATTGTTATTTTCTTTGTTTTGTTTTTTGCCATATGGCAGGTACAGAGAGAGATGGAGAGAGGGAAAGTGAGAAATTATCTCCCAGTGGGGATGGCCACACCGCAATCCCTTCTTCTCCTCCGTTCTCCTCCTGGGATTTTAGGTATGCATGCAAGCACCCAGCATGATTTTCAAGCCACTGGGTCTGAGACACCAACTGCCATGGGTCATGTGGGAGTCTAGTACCTTAACTGCCACATTGCTAGTTGGTCCTGCCACAACACTATTTTTAAATTGACAACCCAGCAACACTTAAGTTTTATTCTGTAACTATAATTAAGTCTTCCACAATAGGCTAATTCTAAAAATGGAAGCCAACAGTATTTACCCTATGATTAATATAGATACTGTTTAATGCAAACCCAACAGAGAGCTAATAGTGTGTGTTTCCTTCTTTACAGGTTCCGTGTCCTACTTGAATAATTTCACTAAATTAGGACCTAATGATAATCTCTCTTCGTAAACTCTTATTGCTCAAAACTATCCTGAATTTTAATTTTTAGATCTCACTTTCCCTCTCTCCATTGTCTCTCTGGTTAAATTTTAAAAATAATAATAATAAATAAAATTTAATAAATATTTATTTTTTAAAAATTTTTATTTGTTATGAGAGAGAGAAGTTGAGATGGATTGTTGACTAGGTCTTCCACACCAGGACCCCATGCACCAAGCTCCCAGTAGCTAGGCTTGTAGTTGAAAACCACCAGGCCTGGTCTAGTCAGATTAGGCCAGGAACCTAGCTGGGCCTCCCAGATACCCTCAGCCTCTGAACAGCAGCATCTTAGCAGTCTCCACCACTACAGCTGGACCTTTTTTCATCTTTCTTACACAGTCATCTGTTTTCCCTGGAGTTTTAATCACTTCTACTTTTGTTGCTGAAACAAGGATTATTCGCTGTATCTTAAGTATTTTCCAGCCTCCTATTCATTCCATCTGAGACACAGAAGCCATTCTCATCTCTTTATTGAAGATATTCATCTTGTGGGACCAGCAGCTGGTGTAATGACTATGTCTCTGGACTCCCATGTAGTCGACCACGGTTCAAGTCCCAGACCCACCAGGCGCGAGCGCGCGTGCGCACATGTGTGTGTGTGCCCAAGACCCCAAGAGGAGAATGAAGGAGAAGGGACTGCGGCATGGCCATCCCCTCGGGGGGCAGGGGGGTGACTTCTCACTTTCTGTCTCTGTCTCTCTTTCTGGCAAGCACATATGCCCTATAGCAAAAACCTTTCCAAAAAAAAGTAGACAGTGACAAAGTAAACATGTGTGTATGCTTACCTAACTGTATACATGCACACACATTTTTAATCCCTAGAGCAACCACTATAAAATTATAAAAGATATGTACTAATCACCATATAATTCCAAATCCTTATTATTATTTTTTACAACGCAAATCCATTTTTATTCATTTACGTCTGATTATTTTAAATCCTTGAGGGGTACAGCATCACACGGATTCTGTGTCCAATGGCCTTAGCAGGAAGGTTGCTTTGGAATTTGGCTCGAACCATGCCACTGTTCCCATGGGCATGGGTAACCTTTCCCCAGATTACTCTGGTTTTATTTGGTTTGCCACCAGGAGTCACTGTGTTGTTTTTTGCTTTGTACACATAAGCACACCTCTTGCCTAAATAGAATTCCGTTTCATCTCGTGCATAAACACCTTCAATTTTAAGAAGAGCTGTATGCTCCCTTTGGTTGCTCAGACCCCACTTACAGCCAGCAAAAGTGGCCTTGGACCACAGCCTTCCAGACATAGTTGCCTTTTAGAAGTCCTGTTCCCAGCAGGCCTTCACAGGCTCCAAGATGGCGGAAAGGGCTCCAAATCCTTTTTCACTTGCTGTTGTATCCCCCAGTGCTAAGCACATAGTAAGATGGCAAAAAATATATGTTAAATGAATCATTGTTAGTTGAATACCTCTGCATTTCTGTAAGACTGTGATCAACTTATGGGCAAAAAATTATATTTTCTTAGTCTATATGTGCAGGAATAAGCAGAGTACTTAGCTTACAATAACAATTCTGTTAATGCTATTTTAACTTTTAAGAACCATGAGTAAAGCAGTTAAAATATGTAGGCCTTACTTGTTTTCTTCATGTATAATTTGATTAAAAAAAATACTATTGTAAGAAGTAAAAATTAAGATAACTTTACCTGTAATGTTTTTAATGTTTCTTTCAATCCTTCTATTTCCTTTTCTTTTATTTCTGTAGCAAGTTGATATTTTCCCTTTAAGTAAAAAAAACCTGTATTTCAATACTTGCCAGTGTAAACATCATAGAAGGGGAAAATAGAAGAGCTCAAAAACCAAAATCTCTACTTTAAATCTATTTCACAGACTTTAAACTTATAGCTGTACTGCAAATTACATTTCTACTAACTGCAAAATATCATAAAATTACAATAAGCTCTTTATATAGTGATTATAAAATAGAACTTTTTTTTCGGTTTTGCCATAGGGTGCATGCGTTCATGGGGAGAGACAGAGAAAGGGAAAGTGAGAAATCACCCCCAGGGAAGATGGCTACACTGCAATCCCTTCTCCATTTTTCTCTCAGGGTTTTAGAAACATACACACACATGCTTGGCATGATTTTTAAGCCACCAGGTCTAGGGTTCATCTCTCCATGTGGGAGTCTAGCACCTTCACCATGCCACCTGTGGGCCCCATGGAATATCTTATTATGAGAGCATTTTTATGAAAGCACTTAGAGACATTATAAAAATATTCAATTCACACATCTAAAATTAAGATATTCTAGTTCATAAGATACAGGTACATTTGTCTTATAAACACAAAGGTATGGGAGAATTTTTTAAGGTTAGTCTTTTGCTAAAAATATTAAATAATAAATGATTACTACAAATAGTATGTTCATTAATATAATACAAATATGTACTATTAAATAGCTAAATCAGGTATTTAGTACCTTCTGTGGTTTGGATAATAGTTTGTCCCCCAAAGGTTCATGTGCTAGAAGTATAGTTCCAGGGTAACATTGAAACCTTTGAGAGACAGAGCCTAATGGACAGCGTTTGGACCATAGGGGCATCCCCTCACGAGCAGGGTATTATAAATATGGTTGTACCCTCCCTCTGAATGCACCTGCTGATCTTCCTATTTCTGTCACCCATGGTGTGACCAGAAGCTGGCCGGCCCCATGTTGTTGACTTTCCAACCACCAGAACTAAAAGCCAAATAGACTCCACTATTTATAAATCACCCAGAAATACATTTGGGTGATTTGGGTGTTTCTGTGAGCAGCATAACAATGGACCAACAACAAACTAAGGCAGTGCAAGATCAAATTCTAGGTTTGTTGCAAGTTGTACCCCCTTGGTCGATTGGCGCCCAGATGCAGGTCATTGAAACGTTCTTTAAAAAGATAATTACAGGGGCAAGCAGGGAGCATGGAGCTTAAGGTGCTGGATTCCCACATGGCCAATGGCAGTTCAAGTTCTGGACCCAGCAGCTTGAACAAATGGCAATAAATAGATAGATAGATAGATAGATAGATAGATAGATAGATAGATAGATAGATAAACAAATTTTTATGAAGGTAGTTACATTGAAAAAGCACTGGAAATATATTATGATTAATAGACACACTGTGGTGGACTGCAAAGATCCTGCAGACAGGGGAGCTGGGGCCTAGATTCCAGCAACATTATTACCATTTCAAAGCAAGACTTTCATAAATTATTTATCTTGGTAGACTTCAGTGTTCTCAACTGTAAATGATAACAGTCAAGTAACATGATTATATTTCTGCTTCTAAGATTTTAGACAACTAACAATCTCCACCTGTTTATTACTAATGCTTTTTTCTATTATGGCAAATAATTGATCACTAAATGCACTTAGCTTAGCTGTAAATTATTTTAAAAATTTACAAATACCTTTTCTTCTTCCAAGGCACACATCTTCATTTGCAACTGATCAAAAATTTCAAAAAATTAAAATACAATAAGTAAACTATTCATTGTGATTTGCACTAGTCAGTGAGACTACAAAGGAATTTCATATATCTCTATTGTTTTAACTAAATATAACATGAATATGATACTTTCACATTCAGGAAATAAAATATATAAAAGTGGGGCAGAGGACAGCTGCCAAAGTAAATGGATGACTTAATCATACTAATTAGAAATACCAATCATATCTGAAAACTTTTAAAACTTACTTCTCCCCTCCAGAATTTTTTTAAATATCTGAATATTTTGCCATTCAATCCTAATAGCATATAGTATTTCCTGAAGTTACAATTTTATGAATGAATATCATCTGTATTTGAGTTGATAGTATTTATGTTCAGAAATTTTTAAATTCATGTGGCAACCTAACCATGACCTTTAAAAATAATGACATTTTAAAAGAGCAAAACTAGAGAACATGAACCAAAAGAAAATAATAAAATATTCTAAATAAGACAAGGATATAGGGTAAAACAGTCAAGAAATAATTTTTTTCTTTCGAACTTCCCTATTTCCTTTTTCACACTCCTCACCAACATTCAAGATCTCGTTCTTTCAAACAAACACAAAGAACCCAAGGCACTTTCTCCCTGCCTACTAATCAGGAGATCCTTCTTACTTTTTTATTATTTTTATTTTTTGAGAGATTTTTGGTATAGGATGATAGTGCTCACCAGAGAGACAGAAAGACAGAAAGCAAGAAATTATCTCCTGGGGGGATGGCCATGCTGCAATCCCTTCTCCTCCAGTCTCCTCTTGGGATTTTGGGTGTGTGTGCACACATGCCCAGCATGAGTTTAAGCTACCAGGTCCCCAGGACTCAAAGCATAGGCGACTACATGAGAGTCCAGCGACATAACCACTAAGCCATTTGCTGGTCCCAATCAGAGGATTCTTATCCTGCCCAGGGTGCCTCCTGAGTCTGAGACTAGGCCCACTCTGGTCCAGAGAGACTACAGGGCTACATTCTCTGGCTTCTGCTTCCTGACTCATCAGTTAAAATTCTCATAACTTTGGTTAGGCTGATGCAGATTAAAGGAAGAAAGTTTGTCATTTGTCATTTGCTTAAGGAAATTCATACTCAGGTGTAAATTACCAATAACCCTAACCTACTAGGATTAACAACTTAAGTTATACAGGATTTCTTTTTAATGTGCACTTCTTTTTCTAAACACACACATTTGTATGGACATTAAGACAAAAAAGGAAGGAAGGAAGGAAAAGGGAAGAAAAAGTAGTGATGGTGGTACAGATACAAAGAAAAAACTTCCAGAGGATATTTTGCATGAAAACACATTCTTAAACTAATGTCTTCTTACTCAGGATCGAAGAGAAATTTGAGGCACAAATCAAATTAACTAAAGATGTGCTATTTGTTTCTTTAAAATAGAGTTGTTTGTCTTTCCCCCTCTATTTTGTCTCCGTTAGTTACTGATGGCTGGCATTACGGAGTGTATGATAATCACCTCTCACCCTTCCCAGCTTTCATGCTGATGAGAAGCATCCCAGCTTTTCATCAGTGTCATGGCTCTGACTTGGGTAATGTGAAAGCAGGAAGACCCCAGGATATTCTAAGGAAAGAAAGAAGAAAGAACAACAGTGCACGTGGCACACTCACCCAAATTATTTAGGACAAATGAAAATTCATGTCTTCCATCTCCAAGAAAACAGTTTTCTTAATTTCCCTCCTTAACCAGCTCATTCTACTACTTACATTCTCTCTTATTAGTTTTGATTCAAAATATTGGGTCGTTGAGGAAGTCATGATGTATTTTTGCATAGGAAAAAAAAAAAGTCAGGACTTCCAACGACCTAATAACTTCATTCACTTCCTACTTCCTATAATACCCTTTTCTCCTCCTAGGCTTCAATGAGCACAGAGAACAGCTTGTCACAATATTCATGGAAAGGGGGAAACACGGTAGTTTAAATTGTGGTGTTTGTCTATGCTTATGAAATTACCTGCTTTTTAAAAACTGCCATTGCTTCTTTGTGTTGCTTTGCTAATGTTTCCTTCTGATTCTGAAGAGTTTCCTATATAAAAAATATGAGAAACCAAAAAATAAATTCTAGCAACTTTTTCAATTTTAAGTCTTAATTGGATCCACAGTTTAAATAAAAGTTAAACATATTTATTTCATATATTACTTTATGCTCTTGAAATGCAACATTAAACCAATTTTGTGATTTTTTAAAAAATTTTCCCCAGGGCAGGTACACTCACCAGAAAGACACAGGCTTGTGGGGGCAGGGGGAGGGGAAAGAGAGAAAGGACCCCCAACAATGGGTCATGGTCATGCTGTAGTCCCTTCCCATTTCTCCATCCTGTCAGGACTAACCAAAGACATGAATATTAACAGTCCTAGTGACAAGCAGATCATGGTCATAGTATTCCCAGAGAATCAATTTTATTATCTAAGCACAAATTCTCATGTGGCAAACTATACGTCTTTAAATTCACTGAATTAAATTTTACAATACCAATACTACCACAGGGCATTTTTGAAAAAGATCCTCATCTATGACCCCACTTCTTTTTGTTCCCATATCTCCCTTTTTTTTTTAATTGCAAGAGGGACCAGGGTTACAGAGGGTCCTCCCCTTCTTGCCTTCCTGTCCATGTGTACACATGTGCTCTACCATGAATTTAAAATAATTAATTAAAATATGTAAGCTTGTTACTCTTTCTCTATTATCCAAAGAAAGGAAAATCCATAATGATCCACTCTCTGATCAATGACTGCACCTTAAACAACTTTATTAGAAACCCCTTCTAGATGAAATCTGGGTTTAATCTTGTTTATTGATAGGTCATTGTTTAAAATTGAAAAGGGAAAAATATTAGGCTGGATACACTGCAGCAGTCTAAACTGACCCCTAATTATGACTCCTGCCAGAGGTAAAATCAGTCCAGAGACAAAACTGATTCCAACTCAGCAAACCGGCTGACTCGAGAGAGCGAGCGAGTGAGAGAGAGCGAGCTCGCAGCAATGGCAGCTCTGGCCTTGGGGCCATTCGTCATCCTCTCAGTGTAGAAGCCATGGGGGCTTCTTACTGACCTTGAGAGGAGTCCCAACTTCAAATGGGCATCAACTGTTAAATGCACTTATCTTCCTCAAGAGGTGGCCGTCACAAAGCCACATATAAAGGAGGACACACAGGCTACAGAAGATGTCCCAGCTCATCTCTATGGCATGCCATCCTGGCCCCATGAACCCAAAGCCACACCTCTGAAGGCAATAGAAGAGCTCTCTTAGAATGCCCACACCCGGCTCCAGAATCTGAAAAGGAAACAGAACTATAACTGGATTGCGTGATTAAAAACTACCAAATTAAAATCTCTCTTGGGACACTTTCAAGACAGACACTTGGTGGCACCAGAGGACCTCAATGAAATGTCACAAAAATGTTACACGCAATTATCCATCAGAGCAAGGACGAACTGAGCACTTCGCTCAAGTAGCACTGACGGGAGATTTCACTAAGGTCACTGAGCACATCTGGTGCTCCGGAGCACATCTCATGAGTCCCCAACACCCTCCTGACAAAACCATTATCCTTATAGAGTCAAGCCTCAGAGAGACATAGCACTTCCAAATGAGCTTCCTTGAAACAGTCACAGCAGTGGCCTCTGGATGTGTTCTCATCATGGCTTACTTCTCAGGATGGATTAAACATTTCCTTGACAGAGAGTTACAGTTCTGAGAGTGGAATGAAAAACTACTTGATTCCACAGTTGCCAACCTGAGGAAACCCAGTGAGAGGCACTAATCTTACTAGCACTGTAAGAGAATGCTGCAAAGCTTTGTCATCCATTTAGACATTCCATCGTCCCCATCACCTCACTCTTTGGAAGAAGCAGAGAGATGGTGGCATATTAAGTCTGACACTTTTGAACTTCCATGACCAAAAAGGTCACCTCTAGCTTGCAAAAACCATGCAATCTATACTTCCCTATTTTCGTTACTTTCACCATACATACATTAGCTGCACATCTCCCTGTGAAGTGGGCCACCTTGCCTCATTGGGGCATTTCCTTACTTCATACCAGCATGGTAAAATACTCCAAGGGACACGTGTGCTATGCTTCATAGTCTCACCACCAATGAATATAAGCTGCCTTTCCTCTATGGGATCTGAATCTCAGGGATAGTATTTTCTGTAAAGGATCCCAGAGAGGGAAAAAAAAAAAAAAGCACATCTCAAAGCCATGTTGGAAATCAGCCAGTTGAGCACACTGCTATCACAGTGGCTAACCTCCAGAGATAGCTCCTTGGATTTCTGTCTCCTAGATAAACAGATGCTGTGTTTCACTCTCTAATACCTGACTGCGGCTCCACGAAAAGACTTAAAACTAACGGGTCTTACAAAAACTTCAGGGGAACGAGCAGATGGTGTCATGTTTACATCGCTGGACTCCCACGTAGTAGACTGCAGTTCGAGTTTGGGACTCGCTGGACTCCCACGTAGTAGACTGCAGTTCGAATTTCGGACTCATCGGCTTAAAACTCATGCCAGGTGTGTGTACATGTGTGCCCAACATCCTGAAAGGAGAATAGAGAAGGCATTGCGGTATGGCCATCCCCCATGGGTGGTGGAGAATAGAGAAGGCATTGCGGTATGGCCATTCCCCATGGGTGGTAATTTCTCTTTCTGTTTTTCTGTATCTCTAGGAAGTGAGAATAGAGAAGGCATTGCGGTATGGCCATTCCCCATGGGTGGTAATTTCTCTTTCTGTCTTTCTGTATCTCTAGGAAGCGCATACACCCTATAGCAAAAATCTCAAAAAAGAAAGAAAACTTCAGAAACACTGTCTTTAGAAAGAAACAGTTTCTGTTCAACAGCTTTGGATCAAGAGGCAAGTAAATGAAGTAGACAGTCTCGATCTAAGACGTACAGTATAAAATCTAGAGGGGGGGGCCACGGCACTCTGGCCCAGAGGATCAGTCTGGCCCAGTTGTCTATTTCCGAATAGCTTGTGAGCTATGAATAGTTTTTCAATTTTCAAATTGCTGGAAAGAAAAAATATCTATCTTCAAGGCACCTGAAAACTGCATAAAATTTAAATTTTGGTGTCCAACCACATTGATAATCTAAGTATTTACTGCCCATGGCTGCTTTTATACTACAAAAACAGAGGTGAGTAGTTGTGCCAAAGACCATATGATTCACAGAGCCCGAAATATTTACTATATCACTCTTTACAGAAAAAACTCACCAACCCCCTCTCTAGATGACCAAAGCTACGGACTGCAGTATTTTGGTTTACAGGCTTTTGTTCTTTATTCTATGAGATATTTTCTTTCTTCTTTATTAATCCAGAGCCTTAAGTAAATACATATTATTTCTTAATCACAATATTTCCAAGATCCATATCCTTAATAGTACTCTGTATTCTCGGCTACTCAAAGATATGAGTCCAGTAACATCGGAAATTTGTCTGATTTGGGGACTGCTTCTGTTCTTTTGCTTTAATTTGGATATTCTTGGCTTCTGGTATTGATCTACAAAGTCTTGATATAATCTTTCCCTTAGTATTTTTCCTATTTACCTGTTCAAACATGTGACTTCTGCAGTCTTAAATACTATTGCACAGCTACCATCCTCTCAGATGATCCAATAAATGATCATCCAGTAAGAAAATAGGGAAAATTTTGTGCTTACACACATGGATATATGTGAGCAACGATCAGCATAAATAACCTTATATGCTATTGACTCTTCATAGAACAGTGTAAATCTTGAATCATATCCCAAATAATAACCGTCTATTGTCTAGCTATTTCTGAAAGAGCAAAGGAGATTGAGAACCCGGACCACCTGCATCAATGTAACAGCCATTAGTGCTAAGAACTGACAAGACTTGTGCCAACACCTTAGTTTTTTGTTCCAGGAAACCTCTGCTCAGCAAAATATAAGACTATAAAAAACAATAAAATTTTATCACTGTTTCAGGTAATTGCTCCAAAAGAATTATCTGAGAGAATCATTTATTTGAGTAGACATCTGGCTTATTAAACAATCATTTACTCTCAAAACTACCTTCAAGATCTGCATGTTGCTACAGTCACCAATCCAGAAATATAGAATCACAAATTGTGCCTAATCCCAATCAGTGCCCTGCCTTTAAAGATCCTCCTGCAGACCCCTGGGCCTAGACTCATAGCCCTCCCTATATTCCAGTTCTGACTTGGCCCTGGGCACTAAGTCGGTGCAAAGGCAGTGTGCTTGCGTACTATGGTAAATTCTAATAAACACAGCTGCTTTATTAATGGGTTGTTTGGTGACAAAAGAATGCAAGACAGCACTTCTAATTTACACTGTCAACAACAACAAATAAAAGCTCCTGTTTTTACACAAGTTTGTAAAGTAAGCTAGGGATGTGGCTTTATTTTTGTACAGATGGAACCTAGCACTCTAACACTATCTCTTGACTATTCTCTCCACTGATATGAAAGCCACCTCTGTCACTTACTAAATTAGTTTACATATGAGGATCTATTTCTAGGCTTCAGTATGTTCCACTGAAAATTCATGTACACTACACAAAGTTATTTTCGTTATTATAGCCTTCTAATATGTTTAAGTGTGACTATTTCACCCTCTTCTTACTCAAAACTTTCCTAGCCACTCTTTTTTTTTTTTTTGGAGAGGTTTTTGCTATAGGGCGCGTGCACTCGCCAGACAGAGACAGAGAGACAGAAAGCGATAAATCACTCCCCAGGGGGGATGGCCACGCCGCAATCCCTTCTCCTCCATTCTGCTCTCGGGATCTTGGGCACGCACGCACACGCGCTGGGCGTGAGTTTAAGCCACCAGGTCCAGAACTCAAACCGCGGTCAACCACGTGGGAGTCCAGCGACATAAGCCATTACGCTAACTGCTGGTCCCCCTAGCCACTCTTGAATATTTATTTCCACATAAACTTTCAAATCAGTTTAAGTACCCCAAACATGTTCTTGGCATTTTAAATTGGACTGTATTAAAATTACCAAATTAACTGAAGGGTTCTAATAACTTTATACTGCTGACTCTGCCTTCACATTCTGAAATGTATTCTGACCTCCAGTTTGCACTTAGTGTCGACCTGCCCTTTCTCTCCACAGACAGGTCTGTTTCAGACCTGTCCCTCATGTAACCCAACCCTGGTTTTATTCCCACATTCTACACAACATTGTGAGCTGTACCGCCTCAAAAGGCCATCACTAGTCTGATCCATCCTTGGACACCTGACTTCTGATTCAGATATGTTACCTCAAGTTCTTCAAGCTGCCAAATGGTGAGAAGAGGGACCACGGTAAATAAGCTTTCAGTTTTTAGCTATTGGGATTACTCTGAGAGGAAGTCATAAGCGGTATTAATTATAAACGCTTCAATAAAAAATTAGAGGAAAAATCAGAGTGCATGTTTTTCTTAATGTAGTTAGTTACATAAGAAGCAACACCTGGGAAAATGCACTAGTTCAGAGGGTTCGATGCTTTAAAACACCCTCACTCCTCTATAATACACGATGTGTTTCTAGGGGTGTAAAAATCAGTTTTCAGATATCCTTAGCGTTATATCAAAAAGCCTGAATACAATTTGTGTTCGGTTGTCTAGAAGCCCACATTTTATCAACAATTTTTAGTTGGAATTTTTCTGGGGCTTTTAAAATAATTCACTACCCTCAAATATGTTTAGAAAATTTAAAAATTAACTTTGCAAAATGGATTAGAATATTTTTTTAAGAATTCTTTTATTGAACTTTATTTATTTTATCTATCTATCTATTTATTTATTTTAGTTTGAGCAGAGAGGGACAGAGATAGAGAAAGTGAGAAAGCAAGCTGCCAGGTCCGGGATTAAAACCGTGGTCAGCCATGTGGGAGTCCAGAGCCCTTAACTACCACACCACCTGCCAGATAATAAAAATGTTAATCTGAGGGGAAAATACTCACCTTTTGCCACTTAAGTTCTTGTGTCTCGACTATAATTTTACTAATCTGCTCTTCATATTGAGTTTCTGCTTCCTAAGTGAAAAAGAAAAAGGATGCCATGAGAACCAAGACTTCAAAACTTCCAGTTTCAGAGGAATTCATGTAAAATCCATCAGATGACCAGAAACCACCACCACATCTACACAAGAAATATGGGAAATAAAGAAAGTATCTCTCCCCCAGCGGGAAAAAGCAGCCCTTCATCATCCTCAGACAGTACAATGGAACTCGTGGAAATGTCAGATAAAGATTTTAGGATATTCATAGTGACAAAGCTAACAGAAATGCAAGAGGAGAGAGACAACGAACTCCAGAAAATGCAGGAGAAAAGAGACAACAAATTCCAGGAGGCGAGGAAGTTCTTCCATGATCTGAAACAGGAAATACACACCATAAAAAAGAATCAGATGGAATTGTTAGAGATAAAGGCTGT